TAATTCATATAATGATAATCCCACGTGAGCTTTTATTAGTTTCTATTGATTTCCTAAATTAATAATAAGCGATTTGTTAGAAAGAAAGGCAGCATCCCAGATATTCTTCCCGGAGATCGCGTTCGCTCCCATCAAATCGTAGCTCGTTGAAAACGCGATGCGTAACTCTCGACCAGTAGCGAAGTAGCATAAAAGATAAGGTGCAGATTAATTACTCATTCCGCGTGACACCGGGTTGCGTGGCGTAGCATGGCGGAGGAACCGGAATAGGATTTACGTGAAATCTAAATAAAACCTTACTGGAAATCCTGCAGTTCCTTGTCGTCCGAGGGCCGTTGCTAGACGGCTCGGGCGCGGCGACTGTTAATATGCCCGCGTAGCGACCGCTTTACGTCCCCTTAAACCGCACTGGTAACGACTTCCGAGCAGAGAGCCATGGACCCGGATGGAATATAGGTTCCACATAAACGATTAATTTCACACAACGGGCCCCTTTTTGCGATCGTCGGAAAAACAGATCGGTTATGCGGGTATCTTTAACACGTTAGTTGTCATAGGGGTCACCAGTGCACATACATTATATGCATTATATGTACAAATGTGTACATATAATAAATTAAATATATATATATATATATATATATATTATATGTGTACATATAATAAATTAAATATATATATATATATATATATAATGGGAATGTATGATAACAAAATAAAAACTCTTTTTTCACAAAAAAACAAAAAATTTTAATGCTGACTCAGCATTAGAGGAGGTGCTCTATGTGATTGCCATTCACTCTCACGCATGTTTCAGCCCTACGTCTTAAAGAATCACGCACTCTTTCAAATCACGCACTCTAACTTCATTTCTCTTTCCTGATATTTGACTAATGACTAATAAGAAATGACAAAGAGCTCAAATAACAAAATAGCTTGTATCTTAGAAGATATTAGTCTTAGGACCCATGTTAATTAGAACTTTTCTTCTTGTTTTGATCAATACTACCTGCTATCAAAATATGTGACCCTTTTTTTCAACATCCTGTATATATATATATATATATATATATATATATATATATATATATATATATATATATATATATATATATATATATATAT